CCCCCAAAACCCCAAAACCCCAAAACCCCATTGCCTACAAATAATATTGATAAAATGAGGCATAATGAAGACTTGCTCAGCGTGATGGGCAACCCTGAAAGAGATAAGACCCAAAAGAATAAAGTTAAGCTAATGAAGGTAGTATTCTCTTTATATCAGTACACTAAGCTTGTGGTTCTTTATGAGTTTCAAAGTAATTTACTCATCAAGGTGGATGATATTAATCATAAACTTTTAGACTATCAGATCAAAGAAGGATTATAGTATGAAACATCAGGAATGTGAGATACGGAATATTAGATCTTTCTCATCTTTCTACAAACTTCAAGAGAGGTAAGATCTGCTAAATAACTTCCCCTTTGTTTAGAGACTTTGTACATAAACCTAAATTATCTTAGAGTTATGCTGTTGCATGTAGTAAATTTTATTTATAAATTTCCTAGAAATATGACTTTTCCTTGTTTAATACCGTAACTCTACATAGGAAGCAGAAGGTTGAGATTGTTGACAGCCAAAAGAATACCTTAATGGTCTCAGAAGTCAACCTAGCTTTACGCACCAAGCCAATAAAAGTAGGATTTAGAGTCTAATTGGTAGGAAAAAATCTTCTTCTGCCAGAACAGAAGATCGTCCAGGACCATATCTACTAATAAAGTAAGTGACTGTGAGATAACCAGTTTCAGAGAGCCGAATATTTCCCAACAGAGTTCTTGGTTAGAAAGCCTGGATACACGAAAGCAATTGTCAAATCTATAAAGTAAGTGCTCAACATATATGGATGGTATGACTTTTAAATTAAGCATATGGTAAATCTAGAGACGCAATATTTCATAAAATAGCACATCTGTCTGCTTAATTTACTATCTGAGGGATTTTAGCTTGGTAATAATAGATTTTCGTTATAATTCTGATATTTATTGACCTAATACGCATAAAATAATCACCTTAGAGTATAAATTTGATTTCAAATCCCCGATAAACAGACTCAATAATTCTAATTTATACATTTGAGGAAAGCTTTTCTAGTCAACATCTATAATTTTTGTGAATCAAATATTCTCTGAGTTTACTATTTCCAGTTAAACAATTTTGAAGCAGCTTGGAAGATGAATGCTTATGGAGGTTAAATCATAAATAGAACATCTGAATTAGTTAAAATGAAAGCCAAAATTGAAAGAGATCAATCAATAAAAATATGCTCTTAGCTAAAGAAGACTTGGATCAGCATGAAAAATGTTTAGAAACAACCTTTCAAATTAGATTTTAGTAAGTCTTCCAAGGGACTGACATTCAACATTATGAGAATTCTTAATTTTTAATAGTGAGTCTCCATCCTTAAAAGAAATCAGGCCTAAATAAGCTCATGAATTCACAACAAAATTCCCTATCCTTACAGCGAAGTAATCTCAGTGGTAAATTGAATTTTTAATGTTCAAAGGATACAACACACCCAAAGCAAGACCTAAGCTAAATGTGAATCTTAAAACAGTGAAGATTGGGACTAATTATTTCAAAAAGGAAACTGGTATATACTCCTCTTTACTATTCCCATGCATTATTAGGCCAAATAAAGACAAATTTATATAGCAAGTCATATCAAGATGGATCCTAGTGCTCTCTTAACCCCTCGCTCTACCTCAAAATAACAAATTTCAAAGAGTATTTTCCTACTTATCTCCTATTAGCCGAACCTCCCTCTTCTCCAGCTGCCCCAAGTACCCCTCCCACACCCCATGGACCCCTCCCACCCAATATTTTCCCCTACCAATACCTCCAATCTCCCCTTCTAAAATCCACAGACCTCGCCTAAATTCCAAAAAATCCTCTATCCTCCAAGCAATGTCGCCCAACAGACGCTTCAGCCGTACCGTCAGATTAACAACTCTATGCACAAATCATGCTTTCAAACGCCATCCATTCCCTTCCTAAAAATCTTTCAAATTTCAACCACCTCTTCCCAGACCGGGGTTTTGGGGTTTTGGGGTTTTGGGG